AAACAAGATTACATTTTTATTGAGAAATTTCAGAATAAATTTTAAACCTTGAATACCCTATATTTCTTAAACCAGCGACATTCGTATAAGGTATGATGAGCTCAAACATAATATTTTGGTGTCCAGTGTCTCCAGGTTAGTGTTGAGCCATTCTTTCTGACCCACCCTGTATAATTATGAGGGATAGCTAGGGGCCCTTGGTTTTGTGGTGGCTGCAGCAATTAATATCTGGGTGATTAGGTAGGACTTTTTAGTAACAACAATATATTTGATAAATATGTATTTATTTAACACTCAGTATAGTAACAATAATAGTAATAGATAACGTACGGATATCTGTGATACTGACTATATTGGTTCTAATTTCCCATCTTTAAATTTTTATCGTACGTCATACGTATGGACCAGGTACTTGTCCCTGTTTATATAACTGTAAGTGGTCAATCAAAGTCGACCTTCGATCGCCGTTCTAACGGGAACGCTTCGAAACCTAGATGATCTTCGTTTCGATGTCAGCAATCGGAATCTGACACTATCCACAAACGTCGCGGTGTGCCTTGGTTGGCTGGAATTAGAGATGATTTTCGGAGGCCGTTGTCAGGCAGCTCTTCGGTTTTTTTTCTCGAGCATACTCTGGCTCTACAATATATTCGTCGTCGGAGCGATTTTCGGCTCTGTAGCGTGACTGGTCGTTTGGATTGGAATCCAGGGGGTGATATTTGAAGTTTGCTCGCAGTCTTCATACAACAAAACATCAACAATTATGTAATATAATATGTTACAAGTTGCAAGTTATTTAATAATATATGAATGTTTTTTCCAGTGCATCAGCAAATACGTAAAACAGAAGAGTCGAAACGTGAAATTTCATTAGAAACTTGTGATTAATAATTTCTGAGAATAAATAAAAGTTTGGCTTCAATAATCACTTAAGTAATAGTGTCACAATTATTTAACTTGGTTTTTGAAAATCTAAAATCTAAAAAAATCCCTGAAAACATTTTTAAATTAATTAAAGCGGAATATTCAATCATAAACTAGTCAGAACTGAATTAATTAATCTATTTTAAAATAGAGGCATTTTTCAAAATAATGAGAGCGCAATTCTTACTTTTTTTAATTAACAATTACTTGTGTATTATTTTTTTGAAAGTGTGAAAAAATGTTTCCGACTCTCCCTAAGGTAATGGTCGAACTTTGACAGTTTTCATGAGAACGAAAACTCAAAATAAGTTCAGAAGACAAAAACAGATATATTTTCGAAACGTTAACAATTTTTTAAATTAAAGAAAAAAGTTATTGACCAGTTCGCATTTCTGAAGAATCGGTTGATCAATTTGTTATATTTCATTTGAGGTACGCTAACTGTTTGAAAATTTCCTCTTTGTTTCTAAATCCGCGAGCGGCAATTGGAAGATACTAATGGCGAATCTTGCCGTTTTTGTCAGTGAAGAATCATTTGATATTCCTCTGTACCTGAAATGTTCAGTGCATGATAATATGAATCTAGCTTAATCCAAATATGTAAAAACAAATCTTGCCTCGTTTCAATCAATCATATAAGGTGTCAAAGTATATACATATTTTTTTTCTTTGGAATTTTAAAGAGCATCATTTAACTACTCGAACTAAAAATTGCAACAGCAGGGGAGATGGTAGAGTAAATATGATCTTAACTTTTCTCCTTCTCATATGGTTGAGTTGGGCCAAAGATAAAAAAAACTGCTTTATTTTGATTAAAATGATATACTTACCAGTTAAAAGAAGAGAAGATTGGAAATATTAATTTGTTACGTAAAATTTTAAGCATGATGTGATTTAGTTTAGAAGTATTGAAATATCTGTTATAAATTCAACACACAGGTTTTATTATTAAAATACTTGAGATTATCTACTTTCTTGCATTTTGGCCAGCTGAAATCGATTTTTTGTGTTGATTATTTATAAATAAACAATCTGCAGAATAGTCACTTTTAAATTAGTTTGCGCGATTGGTACGTAATTTCTGAAATTCTCGCCTTAACGTCTTGAAAAATGAGTCGAATTTAATAGCGCGACAAAAGTTGTATGACGACCTCCATTTAGTTAATGCAGACTTCTGACATAACCGCAAGTATCACAACCTTAATAATTAATTAATAATTAATTATTAATTAGTTGCGTAGTACTACTAATACTAGCAACCAAGTACTTTTCCTGTATCTATTATGTGGGATATATATACAATATGAGTACAGCAAGGAAAAAGTTATTTAAACTATATCCTGAATATTTGAACATAATGCTGGGACATGTCGATTTTTATTTTTCCAACCTTTTATCGTCGCACTGCTGTACCTCAACTAGTGGTGGAGTAGAAAGGGTTAAATAAATAAAATATTTTTTGAAAGATTTTTTTATTCTCTACACATTAGTAAAACAATTTTTCAAATTCGGTCGGTGGCCAAGCAGTTCGAGGCGTCAATACTTGAATCGATGAATGCCACTGTCGCCATAGACCGTAGATCAGCTATATTCTTTCTACACAAAATTTTAAATAATATAATAAAATGTGAGGAAAAATGATAAATATTCATATTCTTCGATTAAATATACGGCATGAGCATCTTCAGACAAAAAATTACCGTACTAATTTGTATAAAGCCTCTCGCATGTACTAAATGTTTACCAATTACAGTGAAATTGAATTACGGTTGGATCAAGAGTTCATATGATGTAGATGTACCTTCTTTAAGTTTATAGATTTGACCCTTGTTTTATTTTATTTATTTGACTTTTGTTATATGTATTAAGAATGTAATTTATAGAAATTTCTTTTTGTTATATATTTGTGTGCTTTTGTGGTTTATAGTTAGGTACTGCCTTTTTCTTTTTATTAATGCCGTTTTTTACCCTTATCCTGTAATTGGGCTTTTGTCCGTTGGATATAGCAATAAATAAATTAATAAATAAATATTTGTGGCGGGAATTAGCTACCTTCTCTGCAGGTATGGTAGGGTGGAATATGTTAATTTGGGTTAATGGAGAGATTGATACTGGTTGGCATTTGACCACCCCCTAATTAATCAGGTTTCCCAGGTTCCCTCATTCTTGCACTGAATGGTGGTTAGGGCTTACCAACGTCATTCCATTGCGCACATGTGGCCTGCATAATAATAATATGCCGCCCTCTCTCCAGCACAAGTCTCCGACTTCTGGGTTAATCCTTGCAATTATAATGAGGGGTAGAGATATTATTGTTATTATTATTGACAAAACCAACAAACATCAATAAAAATTATTTAATTAAATGCTCTAAGAAACCTCCACCAACTTTTTGGCAAAATGCCAAACCGTTTTCAAATTCATTTAGGACGTTACAACACGTGGCGTTAAGTTGGAAAATATAAATAGGATAGTAGAAGGTACAAGCAAACATTTAATTTTAGTTTAGGACAACAACCATTTGGCCTTTTGCCAAGAAATTAATCGTTTTATGTCCGAAGGGACCTTTAAAAAAGTACATTTCGTAATACATTTCATAATACAATGTTAAAAATTGGTCAATTTCTGCCCCACTCTGGAACTTTCTGTAGCTATTTTAAATGATTCCAATAGGCTTGTATTCATCTAAGTTGATCGCATTTTTGATGATTACTGTGGATGTAAGGTAGAAAAACGAGTGGTTAGTTGCTGTCCTCATGTAATGGTGCTTTTATGATTTTTTGGATACGCGCGTTATCTAGATTCCATCTCCATAACTCCAGATCATTCCGACATCTTTGAGACACTGGGTGATAACGAGAGCAGCGATGAAGATGAAGACAACGACTCAGAATAGTGTGCATGGACAAGTCTGAATCGATGTATGATTGTTGAACTTTCTCAGTGATTCTAACCAAAAGGTATAATAGGAAGTAAATACTAAAACATTTTCTTCGGGAAAGTGCCGGCTTCATACGTGTATTTGCATCAAATACAAGGCTACTGGAGTCATTTAACGTCGCTACAAAAAGTTCCGGAGTTAGTTGGACATGGATCGACTTCAAAGAATCTACGTAGAGGCTGAACAAGTTTTACCTGATCTTACGTGGATATTGACATCTGCATCGACTTCAAGAATCTACGTAGAGGCTGAACAAGTTTTACCTGATCTTACGCGGATTTTGACATCTGGACGATTTTCTCCGCAGAATGACAGCCTTAGAAGTGTATTTCTATCAAATATAAACCTATTGGAATCATTTAAAATAGCTAGAGAAAGTTCCAGAGAGGGACAGAAATTGACCGATTTTTAACGTTGTCCCTTTTTTTTAGCCATTTGTACTGGTTGCTCTCTAATGTGAAAAGAATGGTGTTTCAAAGTAAAAATCGACCTATAACAGTATTTTTTCCAGAAATTAAAGAAATAAATTTAACTCCTTACGTACTTTACACTCATACTGTATAAGCAAATTATTAAGTCATTACGAATTTAATTAAAATTGCACTTTGCTTTATTACTTACTCCATGGCCCAGCTGGTGTAGATATTTTTATATTAAAATCAATGTAGTATTATTGCAGATATAGCTTTATATTATGTCTGATTTCCACATTATAATAAATATCCTTATTTTACGTGATATTTTTTTAGCTTCAAATCATATTTCATTTACAGTAGTGTATAGTGCCTCATTGCGTGAAAAAGTTTGTCAAAATAGACTAGTTATGATTAACATATGGGATCGAGCTATTGTACATTGCTTCCTATTTCAAAATCTACAAAGAAAGCTTACATTTATAATCTACTAATTAAATAACTTATTAGATACCTATGCTTCATAAAATAAGTTTAGCAGTAGTAGTTTTTGCTTAAACTTATTTCACTGCTTTTCCGAGTTGCACGAATGTCATTTTTGAAAAGTTAATGAAGACAATGTTTATAAATAAATGTAAATACCACAGTTTGTAAATATATTTTATTTGGTAGTTGTATAATAATGAGTAAAGGGAAGCTGTGAATTTATTGATATCTTGCAGGTAATTGCCATCGTATCCATCTTGTTCATAGTACTGTCAACAATTGCACTTACACTCAACACAATTCCAAGTATGCAGGTTAATGATGAAGGTAACATCCAAGATAATCCTCAACTGGCTATGGTAGAAGCTGTTTGTATCACATGGTTTTCGCTTGAATATATATTGAGATTTAGTGCTTCGCCAAATAAGTGGAAGTTTTTTAAAGGTGGCTTGAATATTATTGACTTGTTAGCCATATTGCCTTACTTTGTGTCCTTGTTTCTCCTGGAGACAAATAAAAATGCTACAGATCAATTCCAAGACGTTAGACGCGTTGTGCAAGTGTTCAGAATCATGAGAATATTGCGAATTCTTAAATTAGCTCGTCATTCTACCGGACTTCAATCCCTGGGTTTCACTCTTCGTAACTCTTATAAGGAATTAGGTTTACTCATGCTCTTTCTCGCTATGGGTGTTCTGATATTCTCCAGTCTGGCTTATTTTGCTGAGAAAGAAGAACCTGGTACCAAATTCATAAGCATCCCAGAAACATTTTGGTGGGCGGGTATTACAATGACCACCGTAGGTTACGGCGATATTTACCCCACCACGCCTCTCGGAAAAGTTATAGGAAGCGTATGTTGCATATGCGGTGTATTGGTAATCGCGTTGCCCATTCCTATCATTGTTAATAATTTTGCCGAGTTTTATAAAAATCAAATGAGAAGAGAGAAAGCGCTGAAGAGAAGGGAAGCCTTAGAACGAGCTAAACGGGAAGGAAGTATCGTTTCTTTTCACCATATCAACCTAAGGGACGCGTTCGCTAAAAGCATGGACTTGATTGACGTAATCGTAGATACAGGTGAGTTTGCATGAAGAATTTGCTGAATTTCTTTCATTACAGTGCCCGATATTGTACTTTTGCCAAATTGTTTTTATTTTGCGAGTCTTGGTTTGCACAATTGTTAAGTCAGTGTCTTCTTCTCAGGTGATAAATGTGCCCTAATTGGTGGAAACGAAGACAATCGCAGAAATTCATAATTCGTTAAAGTTCGTGTGCCGAAGAAGCATGTTACACGCTTTGTTAATTGTACATGTAGAGCACTCTTTTACTCGACCATATTTTCAGTTTTGATATCGTAATGCTTTTATTCATTTTTCAATGTTACGTTGTGCTGAACTATCTCGAGTGCACGGGCTGTATTGGGTGACACCCTTCATGGCCCGTCCAGTTGGTGGTCAACTTGCTGACAACAAGTGTATCGATAGGCCACAATATATCACATGCAGATGGAAACAGTACAGAAGGCGAATCTATCGGTGGCCGAAACCCAGCACAGACTGGGACTGGATGTTATAGAAATTTTGATCATTTTCCGAATCGACATCGACGTAGTAACTCTTCCACCTTGCCATGTCTTCCAACAAACGAAGGTCCCCCCGTGCCTAGTTCTCCTTCTTCTCAACGAAAATTGCTTGAACTAGGTACTACGGAAGAACTACAATTTCAACAAAATTCTCCATTGGCCCCATTAGCTACTTTAACCCCACCGGCTCAAGATGAGACGCAATTAATTTCCACTATTCCGAAAGGATGTATTTCACCATCGGTAAGTTAAGTTGTTGCCAACTTTATATTTATAGATAGGTAACCATTTAATACACCTATAAGAAATATGTTGGTTTGAATTTCAGTGTTGATTAAAATCGATTATTGACATAGTTGAATGATTTAATCTTAATTAGTTTTTATATTATAAAAAAATATTTATTGATCAAACAAAATGTTAAAATCATTAAATAGTTATCACTTCCATCGACCACTTAGAGATAATTGACTTTCATGATAAGTCCTAAGTAATAATAAGTAATTTGGAATGACTTTCCACTTTCGCTTTTGAAACTATGCATAATTTTACATAGTTTTTATCAATAGCGATTTTGGAACCAAATTTAAGGATTTTCATTTCAAAATAGATTTAGAAATGATCTTAAGGTAAATTTAAATATTACGTTATTAGAATAATTTTTAATGATGTGATTTGGTCATATCATACACTCGAAACTGTCACGGATTTTCGAGTAACTTTAATTATTTTTTTCCAAACCCAAGGGACCCAGATATCATTTCCGAAGGAATTCGATGCGCTGAACACGATTTTATAGTCAAAATTCATGACTTTCTGATGAATTTCGGAGAAAAGTGATATTTTTGTGTGAAAACGCCCAAATATGGGTCAAAACTGATTTTTTCCTAAATTTTGTCCAAATTTATCATTTTCTTAAAATTTTAAGGCGCTGTCACTAGTAAAATTTACACATGATCTCGATATTTCTCAAAAAAACTTCTATTTGGGTGAAAACTGGCCCAAATATGGGTCAAAACTGATTTTTTCTTAAGTTCTGTCCTAATATATAATTTTTGTAGTATTTTGAGGAGTTGAACACGATGCCAATAATTAGTAAAATTTACCCAAGATCTCGATATTTTCCAGAAAATCCACTATTTGGGTGAAAATTGGCTAAAATACTACGAAAATTATACATCGTGTCCGGGAAAATGTGGGAAATCTCTTGGGTGCAGATAGAACATGAAAAAATAAGAAAAATAAGTTCCTATAAAATTTTTTCGTAACGGGCCCTCCCTCCGGAGATATGTGTCCCTGAAGGACGCCGCTGGAAATAGGTTTTTCTTGAATAATTTTTAAAGTACTTAATATAATTTATTAAAAATTTTATTTGATGAACAGTAAGGACCTCTTAAAATAGTGTCCTTGAAACATATTTAGCTTTTTTAGTTTACAAGGGGCGGGCTAAGCTTTATAACTTAATGCCTAAATTTTTAACATGCGTATGATAAAGACTTTAAAATAATAAATCTGGGTAGCTTCAACCTTAGACTACAGAAAAGGTACTCTTTTTTATTGTCGATCAAATGAACCGTTTACGAGAAAAATAATTGGTAAAATTAATTGTGAATTAATTTTGAAATATGGAATACACGTTTATTGAGAATGCAGATATGCATCTCATGAATGGTCTTGAGTCTTGCAATGCTTTACGAGCCAAATATCACGACAGATTTTCTAATCGTGCTCTGCCAAACCAGAAGACATTTCAATGAGTTGACCAACGTCTAAGAAAGAATGGTGGGCGATTTCAGTTAATAAGGTAATATATATTATTGACTTTCTTCATATTTGTAGGAAAATTTGGAAAAAATTGTACTATGCTGGTCTGAGAAGAACCGTACGTAAGCCGCAATTAAAGGAAAATATTTTAATTGCTGTAGAAGACACTCCATCAACGAGCACTCGAAAACTATCAACACAGTTTAATACATCGAAAAGAATAGTACGTGAAGTTCTTCAAGAACAGCTGTTATATCCATACCATTTGCAAAAAATACATGAACTGATTCCTGAAGATTTTCCTCGTACAATGTAGTTTGCAAACTGGCTATTGGATCAGCATTCAGCAACGAAATAATGTAAACTTCATTAGCACTATTCTTTTCACGGATGAAGGTTTTCCAAAAATGGTATCATCAATTTACACAACACACATGTACGAGTATGGGCTGATGAAAATCTTCATGCCACTATTGTTTCGCATCATCAACATCGGTTCCAATCTATTAACATCTGGGCAGGAATCATTGGCAATTTTTTTATTGGTCCATTCATATTGCCGGAACGATTGAATGGACAAATTTATTTGGAGTTTCTTCAGAACGCTTTTCACGATTTAATAGAACACTTAACAATTGAAACCCGCCGTAACATGTGGATACGTCATGCACGATGGGGCACCACCTCAGTTCAGCGTTGGTGTGCGGGAGCACCTGAATAACGTCTATCCAAACCGTTGGATAGGTCGAGGAGGACCTATTGCCTGGCCTCCTCGATCTCTCGACCTAACGCCTCTGGATTTTTACCTGTGGAACACCTTAAACAATTGGTGTATTCCACTCTGGTCGACACTAGGGAGGAACAGAGAATCAAGTTTCATTGTGATGTGTTCAGGAACAATGCTGGGTTATTGTGGCGAATACAACACTCCTCAATTCGTCGTGCCCGCGAGTGTATCAGACTTCACAGAGTGCCTCCTGGTACACCACTGCGTTTTTTTAAATTTTGTATTTTTTCGGATTAAACATTTTACAATGAAACTTTTCTGTTTTTTGAATGACTTTCGTTTCGCACTTTGTTGTCGAGAAAAAAATATAGAAATTATGGCCCTTTTTATTAAAAATAAAACATGAATTCGTTTATTATTATTTTTCTCGTAAACGGTTCATTTTATCGACAATAAACAAGAGTACTTTTTCTTTAATCATAGGTTGAAGCTACCCAGATTTATTATTTTAAAGTCTTTATCATACAGGGTGTTAAAAATTTAGGCTTTAAGTTGTAAAGCTTAGCCCGCCCCTGGTATACTAAAAAAGCTAAATATGTTTCAAGGGCACTATTTTAAGAGGTCCTTACAAGTGTCCATCACATAAAATTTTTATTAAATAATATTAAGTACTTTAAAAGGTATTTAAAAAAAAAACGATTTCCAGCGGCGTCCTCCAGAGACACATAAGAGACACGAAAAATTTTTATAGGAACTGGTCATCTTTTCATGTTCTATTTACACCCTAGAGATTTCCCACATTTTCCCGGACTCCCTGTATATTTGGACAAAACTTAAAAAAAAATCAGTTTTGGGTCAGTTTTCTGAGAAATCTAGAGGTCATGGGTAAATTTTATACTAATGGCATCGTGTTCAGTGCCTCGAAATACTACAAAAATGAAACATTTGGACAAAATTAAGGAAAAAATCAGTTCTGACACATATTTGGGCCAGTTTTCACCCAAATAGAGGATTTTCTGAGAAATATCCAGGTCATGGGTAAATTTTACTAATGACGGCGTACTAAGCACCTCAAAATACTAAATAAATTATATATTTGGACAAAATTTTATCGAAAAATTTCACTTTTCTTCGAAATATTTTGAGTACAGTATCTTGTTCAGCGCATTGAATTCATTCGGAAAAGATATGTGGGTCTCTTGGGTTTCGACTTGTTTCTTTGTCTGCCTGGGTAATTTATCAAATATCAGATCATGTTGATTTTATTTCTGAGATACAAACGTACCTAATCATTATATATTTTAAAAATATTGATAATTTCATATTTATAATTTTAATATTTATGTATAACAATAGAATTGTTTCAACTTGGGTTAGTAATCGATTTTATACATGACGAGAATGCATTTATTTAATGGAATGTTGAATGTTGTCTCTATATAATTTCCTTATCTACAATTATGTTTTGTTCGACTATCAAACGCGAATAGCTAAAGAAACACAATTTAAAATGGTTTTATACATTTTACAGATACAAAAGGTGAATAGGTGAAGGCTCTTGTAGAGAGAATAATATGCAGTCTTTATTGTCGATATTATTATAAAGGTATAATTTCTCTGAAAAAGACTCAGTGTTCATTTTAAACAATAGTTACTTCCCCTATACCTGAGTGATATTATTGACAATATTTATTTAATTTTATGTTCAATAGTTACCTACATGGTGTCTAAATATATGCAAAATATTTACCTTCTAACAATTAATCAAAATAATGCATTAATTTCAAAGCAGATTTTGCATGACTAAATGTGTATGCTACATTTCTAGAATATGTGTATTCAACAACATCTTCTGAAATTATTCACAATTATTAAACTGATCTAATTTTTCTGACTTGCAAATTTATAAGTGACTGATGTCAGTTTTTCGTTTTATTGATATTTAAGTACATTCAATAATAAAGTATTCTAATCAAAACAATATTTTTGTAAGGAACACAATATATTTCTACATATTTGGTTAGAACTAAACAGTACTATAAGTATTTGTAAGTTTATAGCAAATAGTGAAATAAAGTCAAACATGCTCCTTAAATCTATATGTTAGAGAAATGCTTATTATCCTGACAGTCTTAATTAAAAATCTATTTCTACTGCGTTGCATTTGCGTTGTCCAAAAAATAAAAAATCTTTATTTATGCTTCCAAATCAATTACGTCGCCTTCAAAGTAATCCCCACCCGATACAATGCACTTATGCCAACGTTTTTGCTAACTCTTGAAACAGTTTGAATAGTCCTTTTCCGGTATGCCCTTCAATGCTTTCGTCGTTTTCCGCCTTTCCGTCTTTTATTTCCTCGATCGAGTCGAAACGGTCTCCACGGAGTAGTATTTTGAGTTTAGGGAATAGCCAGAAGTCACTCAGTGCAAAATCAGGCGAATACGGTGGTCGCAGAACGATATGAGTTGAATTTTTGGCGAAATGGTCTCGAATTATCAGTGCTGTGTGAGTCGGTGCGTTATCATGATACAAAAACCAAGAGTTGTCTGTACATAATTTCGGAATTTTGCGGCAAATACCATCACGCAAACGACGCATAACACTCAAATAATATTCCTTGTTAACAGTTTGGCCGGTTGGAAGAAATTCATAGTGCACTACGCCACGATAATCAAAGAAAACTGTCAACATGACCTTGATTTTTGAATGTCTGGCATGTTTTTTTCGGTTTTGCTTCACCATTTGTACGATATTCACCTGATTGATCGGTTGTTTCCGGGTCGTAAGCGTAGATCCAAGTCTCGTCTCCAGTTATAATGTGTTTCATGACGTCTTGGTAGTCAAAAATCATTGTTTCACAATGTTGACAACGCGACGCTGTTTTTCCAAAAAGTTTTTGGAACCAAACGAGATTGAACGCGTCTAAGGAACAACAAATCCTTTAAAATGGTAATTACCGAACCTTTTGAAATGCCAACATTATCAACAAGGTCTCTTGTTGTTAAACGACGGTTTTCCAGCACAAAATCTTTGATTTGATTAACGTGTTGTTCATCAGTTGACGTTGATGGACGTCCGGGACGCTATCGTCCTTAACGCTTTCTCTGCCTTCTTTAAAGTCTTTGTACCACTTGTAAACATTTTTTTGCGACAACACTAAAGGCCTTTTGTAACATCCTCAACGTTTTTGCGGCAGAATATTTATTCCGCAAATAAAATTTAATGTAAATTCTTTGCTCAACAAAATCAGACACAATGAAAATCGATAAACTCACTGTCGAATGTTTACGTAAACACAAGCAGCTCTGCAACAATTGAATATATTGACTTGAAACTCTGAGTAGATATCCAGGACAGTAGTACAAAAAAAGCCAGTGCTCGTACGCACGCCACCGTTAGAGCTAAAAATTATGTTTTTATTGAAAAACATGCCCCTTTATTAACTATAACTACGTACTAAATACCACTGAAATATCTCAAGCGGTTTCGAAAATATTTATTAATTTCCTTCTTTTTCTGAAAATTTTAACATCTCGTATTTCCGCAACAGAATACTTTTGGACCATAGTTTATGAAGCAAACTATCATTAATTTTCCATGTAGAACCACACCCTTAAATATTCCCATATCATTAAGGAACACTCTGTATATGTTCGAAATCTTTTAATAAAAATGCTCACTGCAAATTCCTTTGTTAATAAGATTAACAACATATTTTCGATAGCACCATCCAACATCTAATCCACTTTTTCTTAACTGAGGATCTTTTGAAAATGTGTGAAAACTAATTGATTCACCAGTTTCTTTTTCCCACTTTACGACACTACACACTATCCACACTACAAATTATAACTTGACGTAGTTTTAGATATAAGTTTGTGATTTCAATAGTACTTAAAAAAATAATCTAACAGTAAAAAAAAACCACGAGAACAACAATTCCTATGATACACGACACATGGAAACTCCAACACTACAGATCAAACTGAAATTTGAATATTTATTAGTAAATACAGTGTGTCCCAGAAGTAACGCAAAAAAATAGTATTCTATTTTGTGTTACGTTTTCACAAAAACGCTAAAACACGTCAATTAGTAAATAGAAATTGTCGTTTTGTCACGTTGCTTAAACCTTTTTTGCGCGATGTTTCATAAACTTATGACGTCATCGACATTTTTTTTAAATAGCACTAACTAATTTTTTTAAGCATAAATGAATAGCCCTTCTGAAGGGAAATGCGTCGATATAGGGTTTGGCCTACTTTACTTTGACAGGTCCGGAAAAAAAGCCAACGATTGGAATGGACATGATTTGAAATAACAACAAAAGATCACAAACTGATGCGAGAACAGTGCCACAGGAAAAAATGGGAATTTGTAGATGTTTTGTGTTTTGGGCACTTCTATGGCATATGACTGATGATAAATGATGATCACTGATGAATGATGATGCCTAACGAAGATAACTGATAATGACTGATGATGATGACTGATGATACTGACGGATGATAAATGATGATGGCTGATGAGACTGACGCTGAAGGTGATGATGAGGATGAGGATGAAGATAAATATGACAATAAGGATGATGATGATGAGGATGACGATGATGACGAGGAAGAAGATGATGATGGTGGTGATGATGGTGATGATGGTGATCATAGTGATCATGGTGATGGTGATGGCGATGGCGACGACAACGGCGACGGTGAGGGCGAAAGCGGGGCGACGGCGAAGATGAGGACTATGACGATGGCGGTGGCGATGATGATGACGATGACAATGATGATGACGATGGCGATGACAGTGTTGATGAGGACGACGACGATAATGATGACGGTGGGACAATGACGATGATGACAATAATGACGACGACGATGGAGGTAATGACGATAACGATGACGGTAATGTCGATGACGGTAATGTCGATGACGATGACGACGATGGCGCTGATGACGGTAACGTTGATGACAATGATGATGATGGCGATGACGATTAAGATGATGATGATGCACGATGTTTAGAAAAATATTTATCAGCCGGCGGGGAATGCCGCAGGCACGAGCGAAAGTTTAAGATGGCTAATACCGGCTTGTACTTTTCTAGTCAACATTTTAACTGACATTGCATTACCTTGAGTATTTTATAAATTATATTCAGGGTGTTCTTCCATAACTTCTATTTGTAAAATTGTAATAATAGGTAGGTATATGGAAATATACATGTGTCTACTGTTTTTACTGAATCAGCCTTTTCTTAATATCTTCAGAATAAACCAGGGACACCTTGTACACTGACAGCTTTTCCGTTGTACCGTTACTGAGAGAATCATTGTGCTCGGTGCTCGAACTGTTTTACTAGGGAAATGCACTAAACAATTAATTGTCTTATGTAATTCTCTGTGAAGCTCACCTAAGGCAAGGTAGAATCAAAGTCGTCAAAAGGAGTAGGCTGCCAACAAACTGCTGATCCCCTTTGCACCACTTCCCCCATAAACTGATGACTGACGTCATTTACTATACAGGGTTATTCAGGTTTAATCTGGATAACTCCAGGAATCAATATAACAGATTAAATTAATGTTTATTCATTAATAAAACAGAGAAAAACGCCTATCTTTGTACTGTCGATGTCGCTGCGGGATTGTCGGATTCGGAGATATCAATTTTAACGTTTCCATCGATGATGGAGTTTGTTTTAAAATATTCTTAATCCCGCATTAGTTTGTTATATTTGATCTATTAAAAGGAGAGGGCGACATAGAAGAGGACTAACGGCGCGACACGACATCGAGAAGCCTTTCGTCCGGTAAATGGGCCCTCAAAAACGTCAATTGTTAGAGAAACAGTAACCTAAGCGCGTTAATATGTATATATCGGTAGATTATGAAATCTCTCTAAAATTAAAAATATTGAATTTATTCGATCTAATGTATTAAGAAAAGTTTCTCGTGAATGTTTGAATACATAAGTATAATTAAATTTAGTTTACGCTGAGAAAATGTAATTGTTTTGCAAATACATGAACGATAAGGATCTAGGTGAAGTGTGATACCCTCTGGCCTAACTATAAGCTTACGAATATTTATGTTAAAAACATATTTAACAAATGCCAAATTCGGTAGAAATTATTCTATTTGGTACAGTCTAAGATAATACCGTGTATAATTATGAATATATTTGAAATTTCATACAAACTGTGGGGTACAAAAACACTTGTCAAGTGATATGATTGAGACTCACTAATATAGAATTAGAAATGTGCGAATAATTCGTTATTATTAAACCGATATTACCTAAATATGTAATAATTATTTTTATTATTCATTTAGCATATTCAGCTAGTGGTACCTGAAAATAACTAAAAAGACTAAGCTGAGACAAATAATTATAAAAGAGCAGCTGTAAACCAGATTTTGTTAAAATTGTTTTATTACATTAAATTATTCTAATTTTAAGCGTTCTCTAGTTATGCAAACATGTTTCAGAAGGAGTTATTGAATAATAATGTATAAAAATCAAAATGAGTATACGCATAGAGTTCATGTACGTAATTGATGTGCATTAAGTTGTATGCTATTGTTTCTCGATATGTATTGTAGGCTGACAGCAAAAAATCTGATACCTTGAAGAAGATCGAAAAACTCGATGAATTTCCTAGTGAATTCGAATGTTGCTTTTGCACTACCAAGGTAGTATGTACTCTGTTCAGTGTAATGCTTAATATAAACTGCTTCTGCTTATCAGTCACCCTCAATAATCAGAACAGATACTTAATAGACAGTTTGTGCATGAGCATTCAGAAGAGAGCACTTACCAAATTGTGTTTCAAATAATTACCGCAGTTAGGTATAGCCAAAATATATATCAATATTAATTTGACACTATATACTAACATTTATACATTGTTTTACTAGTTAAATATTACACTTTCTTACTTACACTTTCTCTTTATTATTTATTTCATATAAATATTATTACAATTATTGTAATATTAGACAACATATAAATTTTCTGAATTTTGTTAACTAATGTAACATTAATTTAGAGTCTTTCTAGATAATTAGACTGCCAATCTCAAATACTGGTAGTTATTCATATTATTTTTATTTATTTATAACTTATCTAGTGATAATCCCAAGTGTTTAGTGAATTTTACATATTATTTATAGGGAAACATGACTATTATTATTGTACGTAATGCAACGTATATTAGGGTCGAAATAAGACAGTCTAACTAACCAATTTATCTTTATCCGAAATTTAAAACATCTTGTCCAATTTAAATCAAATTTGATATTCTAGTACTTGTGCAGAGATATTATTTTCTGACATAGTAATTTGGTTCTTAATTTCATTTACGGAAATGAGAAAATACATTAAATTTGCTCATATATTTTTTCAAGTGATTTTTCAATTTCAGTTCTTATTATATTATAAAAGTAAGGGTTTCCTTGATATCTTTTCCTCCTGTCATTTTTTTTGCATTCCTAATGGTTTTCGGGTATTTAATTATTTTATTAGTCATCATCAAAACATTTTCGGTACAAACCTTAATTAAGACCGGCCAAGAAAAAAAAAAGTTATATGAACTTTACATGCGGCATATGATTTCCTGTGTATTTTTGCCTCCTGAACACGAATCCACAGTCTGTTTTGCTCCATATGCCGTATGTCAAGATCTCGTCACTTCCTTTTCTCCATTTTACTGAAGATTTTTAGCGATTCTCTGAAGGTATTCAGCGATTTACGGAAAACTGAAGGGTGATGGAGCAAAACAGACTACGGATTCGTGTTCAGGAGACAAAAATAAACGGAAAACCGTATGCCGCATATCAAGATCTCGTCACTTCGCAAATTTCGTCCTTTTTCTGAATATCTTCAGCGATTTTATGAAGACTAGAGGATTATGGAGTAATTCTGACAACGGATTCGGATCCAGGAGATAAAATGACGTCGAAAAACGTGTCACGTGTTAAGATCTCGTCACTTCCTAAATTTCTCCATTTTACTGAAGATTTTTAGCGATTTTCTGAAGGTATTCAGCGATTTACGGAAAACTGAAGGGTGATGAAGCAAAACAGACTCTGAATTCGTGTTCAGGAGACAAAAATACACGGGAAACTATATCTCGCATGTCAAGATCTCGTCACTTTTTCGCCCTTTTTCTTTTCTGAAGATCTTCAGCGATTTTTTGAAGACTAGAGGGTTATGGAGTAATTCTGACAACGGAAAACTTGTGCCACGTGTTAAGATCTTGTCACTTCCTAAATTTCTCCATTTTACTTTAGCGATTTTCTGAAGGTATTCAGCGATTTACGGAAAACTGAAGGGTGATGGAGCAAAACAGACTATGGATTCGTGCTCAGGAGACAAAAATACACAGGAAATTATATGCCGCATGTAAAGTTCACATAACTTTTTTTTCTTGGCCAGCGTTATCATCAAAAACGAAATAATGCTTTGTGTAGTTCAGGAACTTGTATTCGAATAGTCTTTCACGAAAAATGTTGGAAATAATATCCATTTTTAATAATAATAAAAAATAAAAAAAATTAAAATTATTGGTACCTTGTGACTATTAAATTTGATTCTCTTTGATTGTTCTTATTTGAAGAGCATTAATTCAGCCGAATTTTTTAATAATAAATTATTATAATCATGAGGCATACTTAATAAAAATATAATAGCGAAAAACTTGACGAAATATTTATGATAAAGTAAGATCTAAAGTTAAACTCTCTTGAAAAAAAATATGAATTAATTTGATTAGGAATGCGGGAGTTTTCCCAATTTCTGTAAATACAATTGCTTCAGTTACTACGTTAAGAGTAAATAGAAGGACTGGCACACCAAATTTCAATTAAACTGGACATTTTGCAAATATTTGGGAACAACTAAAACATTGTATAGAGATCAGGTAAGTTTAGTCAAATCATCTTATTTTGACACCTAGAATCTGTGGTAGTTCCATGTCCACGAAATATCAAGACGCGTTTTATACAGATTGTTTGACAATGTCGATCAAATTCCTAAAACTAATTTCTCTGGAGAATAACATGAACTAAATGCAAAAACAACTGAAAATCGTATTTACAAGATATTTAAATTAAAAACTAGCATATTGATGAGAATTAAAATGTACGAAAACCGAACTAGCTGTTTATTAGATATTGCTGGTCGGAACATTAGTCCACAGAGTAGTTATTTCCGCCGTACACAGTATATTAATAAATAATAGTGATAGGGGACCGTTCTGGACAATTAATTGTTTAAATCCATTTTCTCAAAAAGAATGTACAGTTTTAAATAAATAAAAATATAAAATAAAAAAATAAATAAAAGTTGTGTCATTTGGTCCATAGTCTTATTTAAAATTTGTGAGGTTAGGGCTATTGAAAGTGAGGAGTGATATTGTCACGTTTGATTTTTTAATTAATGGTAAGCAACTTACTCTGTGGGCTACAGCTCCATCCAGCATTGAATTATACTCGCAACCTCTAGTAAACAGCCAATATCATTCTTGAACAACAGACATAGACCGGTTTCGAACTCATTAGTTTTTATCAGCATGCCATAGGTGAGACGACCTAGGAACGATCTAACTATTTGGATGACATATTTGATGTTAAAATGAACGGATATATTGTGCTGGAACATACAGGACCAGTAAATAAATAAGAATTTGATACAATGAGAAATGTCAAACCGAAAAAACCCAAATGACAGAATTTAATACCCAAAAAGTTAAATCTATAGAAAACCCGCATGGAGATGAAATAAATGAGCTAAAATAATACATGTACATGCAAAAAATATAACAAGAAAGTTTATTTTGAATAAAAATTTAAATAATAATGTTGACAGCTAACGATGAATATAAACAATTACTTATTTTGTAATTGAAAGGGATATTAATTGGACAATTTGCTCAGAGGTGAAAAACATACAAGCTCACTTTCTGCAACACAAAGCATAGAGTTGAATTTAATTTCCACAAATATTTGGAAAAAAATCCACATTGCACTTTAGATATCGGAAATATCAAAATGTTTCTTAATACAGCATGTAATAACCAAAGTTTCCATATCAAAACCATCAAACTAGCTTTTCAGTAAAGATTACAGTGGTACTCTGCAATAAAGCTAAAAAAAAAGAAAGCAAATTTTGATGACTGTCATATACATATAAAAACTATGAAATGTTTCAATAAAAGAATGGAAGAAAGATAGTTGTAAGATTTGCAAAAAGTAGTTATTAGGACAGTAGGTATTAAGTTTCCATATAGTGTAGAATTTCTAGAATATTGCCAGAAAAATCCATGATAGTCATTTGTTGGGCCTAAATTTATTTAAGGACAGCGAGAAATGCCTTGAAGTCAGTTGAGAATCAGGGTAGTTTGAGTCAAGTTTCAGGCGAGTTGAAACGCTGCTAAAACAAAATAAATCTGCAAATTTGATTGTAGTGAATAATAACCTAAAAAACTTAGATTACCTATTACAAAGTGATCAATTTATATAAAAATAAACAAACAAGTTCACCAAAGATATACCTACAGTAGAACCCAAAAGGAGGTGAGAAAGTCCAATTGAAAGTTATCAAGAAAACACCTCCACAAAACTTGGCTTACTGGCACCTGTCAAAGATTCGAATTAGAGATAGAAATTGCAGACAAGAATTAGTATGCAACTTTCAATGCGCTTATCTCGAAGAATTGGTAGTAGAGTAGTTTACCAAACATTGTAAAATAAGTGGATTCAAGATACCTAGTGGATGTAAAATATTCAGTGGCTTAAACAAGTACCAGGAGGAAGTAATATACTCAGCAGCTCAAAAAGCAAGAGGACATACATCATAGACTAGTAAAAGTGAGTTAAAATAAGAATTAATGTTTGTAAATTAATAATAATAATAATAATAATAATAATAATAATAATAATAATAATAATAATAATAATAATAATAATAATAATAATAATAATAATAATAATAATAATAATAATAATAATAATAATAATAATAATAATAATAATAATAATAATAATAATAATAATAATAATAATAATAATAATAATAATAATAATAATAATAATAATAATAATAATAATAATAATAATAATAATAATAATAATAATAATAATAATAATAATAATAATAATAATAATAATAATAATAATAATAATAATAATAATAATAATAATAATAATAATAATAATAATAATAATAATAATAATAATAATAATAATAATAATAATAATAATAATAATAATAATAATAATAATAATAATAATAATAATAATAATAATAATAATAATAATAATAATAATAATAATAATAATAATAATAATAATAATAATAATAATAATAATAATAATAATAATAATAATAATAATAATAATAATAATAATAATAATAATAATAATAATAATAATAATAATAATAATAATAATAATAATAATAATAATAATAATAATAATAATAATAATAATAATAATAATAATAATAATAATAATAATAATAATAATAATAATAATAATAATAATAATAATAATAATAATAATAATAATAATAATAATAATAATAATAATAATAATAATAATAATAATAATAATAATAATAATAATAATAATAATAATAATAATAATAATAATAATAATAATAATAATAATAATAATAATAATAATAATAATAA